TCTGATCCTTCGTCAGCTCCTTTGATGACAGGTTGTGCACCCGTTTGTCATTTCTAGGCGACGTTGGATTGGGGAGCTTTCGAAATTTGTTCTCCAGTGCTGCGTCGCGTATCGTGCTCTGTTCGCGGGCTTGTTCAGCTATCCTCCGCAGGAGCAGATTCGTACCGATCTCACCCATGCACTCACAGCATCTAGTCTTTTCCTGGTCAATCCTTTGACGGTATTTACGAAGTCTCGCGTGGCAATCTTGGAGGAGCACTCGGATCATCCTTCTGCCGTGCTGAAATAATGCTCGTCTCGCCAAATCCGTGTTAACCGGTGGCTTGTATGAAAAACATTTCGGTAACACATTATTGTCGAGACATCTGGGCAGTAATCGGATCTGCGAATACGTAGAGGCCTCCCAAAGGGCTAGGGTTTCCCATCGCCGGGCCGATAGGAGCGCATCGGGCACAAATACATAGACAATAGAAGCCAGCAGACGAGTCCCAGGAAGCAGTCTTGAAGAAGAAGACACGATCGCCGGGACAAGAGATTTATTAGCCTGACGTTTCGGATTCCTACTCGAGTCCATCATCAGAGACAAAAAAGCAGAAACGGGTGGTTGTTGCACAAGGGGCTGCGGTATTTATGGGATGCAGTAGTCATGCAACCACATACCTATGAACATTCACGGCTCCTCCCCCCCCCCCTTCATCCGGGATCGTCGCACTTGGTGTGATCATTGATCATTGGCATTTCATGAGTTAGCCCACCTACTGTACGTATTAGGTATGCCTATGAGTTTTTATGCCTTTAGCTTTTGAGACCATATGCACTTAATGTATACGTTTAGTTCAAAAGGTGCGTAACAAGGCTCCTAATTATGAGAAAGTAGCCTTGGAAATAACAAATATGCTAAGATTTTGTCTATAAACTGAAACCGTAGTGTTTCCTTGGGTATCAAGCTAACAGGTTCACGTTACTCCTTCGTTTTAATTTCTTTATATGTAAGGTATCTGGTCTCTTAATACCAATCAGATGGTTTTTGCATATGGTTTTAACAGTAATAAATCTAAAAAAAACAATCCCGAGGTTAAAAATATTTTAATTTTGCGTGCCTGATATTAAAACAATAGTGCAACACAGCACAGGAACTCACAGTATACTATGCGAGGTTTCTGTGATCGCATGAGAAGCAGGTAGAAAGCCTTATCTAAAGGCAGTTTACAACAAGAGGATGCCAGGGGGCGAAATATTGCAAACAACTGCCTATACCTGCAGCTCGTACAGCCCACGACATACGATAAAGTCGAAAAGGTATTCGATAAATGCAGGTGTGCGAATTATTTGACTGATTTCCGCAAATATTAGGTTTTTGCATATGGGAACTCCAATTTTGGCCAGTTAGTTTTCTTCATTTCTGTTTGAGCTACTCGTTTTTTATAATGTAGGCCATGTCTCATCCGCACGGTCGATTTAAAGCGCGTAAATAGAAAAATATGTCACGCGTCATATCCAAACACCGAAGATGGAGAGTAGGATGGGACCCTTTCCACTCGCGCAATCTTAGAAGCCTTGAATGAGCTTAAAAATCCATTCGACCGGCTGTTACCGCTTTACGCACTAAGTGTGGGATTCGGTCCTTCGATTGTCAGGTAGAGGAAGGCCGTATAATGGATATATGGCAACACAAGGTGGCGGTGAAAATCCTGAACCAATTTTCAGCTCTGTATAATCTGCATACGAGGTGGATATGAGGTGAACCTTTTGGTCCTCCAGTGCATAGATACTTGCCAGGACTGTAGCAGAACGGCCAAAAAGCTCCAGGAACTGTTCCTAGATGCCGTCTCAAGAAGTCTTTGCGCGGACCTGTGTCTGTATGCCGAACATCTTACGAATTCTTCCGGCAAAGTGGGACTACGGTTAGTTGCAGGCCATATCTGACCGCACAAATGCTCGGCTAGTGCCACAAGTTTTAGCTCCTATGGGTGAACACAGCTACTCCTAGGGTACACTGCCGTTACACCTGTCAAGCTATACACACCCACTACCAGTGACGATGGACTGGACGGGCCGCAGCAGCAGCAGCCTCAACAGTGCCAAAACGTTCACCGCTACAGTACAATCAAAAGCGTACGTTTGCCGGACTTCACTACTTAAATGTTCACATGGGTATCATTGCTGAACAGGGGACTTTTCTTGCAAAATCAGCAGACGCCTCGTCGAATTCAGTGGTGTTTCACACTTTAGCATCGTTGATGTGACTATGTTGTGTAGAGAATTTTCTTAGGTGTGGGGATCATTACTGATGCTTCATCGTTGGCATAAAAAATAGTTGACGCTTTATTCGCGCGAATGTCCAGTGTGCCAGATGAATATGTCTTCGTTCCAAGAAACAGGACTTACGTCTTATTTTTGTTCTTGGCTGTCTCCGTAATCGCCTTCTTTCGTCACATCTTTACAACATTTATTTGCTTACCAGGAGGGTGCTCTAAATATGAAGGTATAAAAGCGTAAGGAGTGCCAGGTTACATATGCTGCCTCGCGCTCTTGCATAAACTAATAATTTATTTGGAAGTGCGAGACGAAAGCTCGTTCCTACGTAATTTAGGCCAAATACATTGATGACCAAATATAAGACTGTCACATCACGTCAAATCTACAAATATGCTTTTAAACTAGACAATATCAGACGCAGGTTTATCATACGTTAAAGTGTAGTTGACAAAAATACTGGGGTTGACATTTTTCACGGTAGGAAATACCGTTGATTTCTGAGAGCGCAGCAAGAGCGGCAGCATTAAGAGAATAGGGAAAAAATCACTCTAATAGATGCAACTATTGTCTATTTTTTTGATTGACAGTGTTTGCATCTTTCACTGGCGAAGAAACAACTTTTCTTTATTATTTTAAATTAATTATGCTTCTGTTTTATTCTTTCCGTCTACGGAAGCTTGTACTTTGTCCAATTTAATGGAATCTTTAATCAAAGTCCATTGTTTAAAATCAACCTAGAAGCAATGAAGTCAGCGGATTGCCCTACAGGAATGTGCACTTAGGAAGGAGGATTTTCAAAGTATTAGGCACGTGAATTTCCGCACTGCGAATTTAAGGCACTTGTATTGCAATGACCTCACGTGTTTTCATGCTGGTATGGATGCAACTGGTCGCGTTTTGAAGGAAAGAGCGTGCACACTAAGGTTGTTTGGACTCGCCGCACATGAAATAGGGGTACAAAAAACACGAACCGGCAGAAAATCTAAAGAGTTTCTATTGGCAACATACACGCTTCTGATGCGCCTACCCGCATGGGTGTGCCTACTCATGAATTAAAATTGCACGCGAACTTAGTTAGACTTCTCTGCTCTCTACTCAAAAGTCTGAGGTGTTCTGCGAAATTGGCTTATACTGGCCAAATTTCATGTGACGCAGTAAGACAGCTTATACTTTGTTCACAGAACAGATTCATCCATCCATCGATCAAAGTTAGCAGTGGACGTCTGGGTTTTCGCAAACGACCCTTTGAACAACCGAATGTCAATACGGCCACACGTGATGTCCAATAAATATTTGAAAAAATATCTCTTTCTCTCTTAAAAGGAACATAAAAATTTCATTCCTCCACACTCTTTTATAAATTTCGCAGTCTCACCAACGACACCTCTCAACGCGTTCTTCTCAAAGGCTGGCCGGTATATCTGGCCGTTGTCAGCTTTTTCGCACGCCTGGATGTCTTGAGGCTAGCTGTTAAACTGTGGGTGTATACCGATGACAATACCCGCAGTTCTCTCGCTTCACGTGGCCGGCAGGATCGATAAATGATATCTAGCAGATTAACGACCTATCATGGTCCCAGCATGATCCCACAAAGCCTTTAATAACGTTTTCAATCCCATCCATACTGCTCTCTGCCATACACAAGTCGATTTCCCAGGCCTGTCGTTCAGCTCGTGATGGGAGTGGGCGCAGTGACCCACAAACCTACGAAAGTCCGTCCGCATGTGCCACCTATGACTTGGTCCTCGTGTCCTTACCAGGATAAAACAAAGAAAATACGTCCACATGCATCAGAGGGGCATGTTTTGTGCATGAGGTTGGTGATGTGGAATTGGTTTATTTGACGTCTGCGGATATGTAGGCTGGTGGGACGATGTCTGAAGATGGGATTTAGCCTGTATGTATTTACCACGAAGTTGCACGGAGTCCCATATGCCCGAGTAGGCCCACACGTGACTAACTGTTCATGGGCAGTGTGAGTAGTTTTGGGGTAAGGTGATGCCATACTAACAGCTCAGGTACTAGCCAATAGTCCATACACTCGTGTTTCGCTGATATTTTTCCGCTGCATGGCGCAAGTGCGAGGGGTTCCGCTTGTCAGTGGGTCCCCATCATTCTCCGTGTTTTTTTCTGGTAGATACTCCAAGTTAAAAAAACTGTCACTTTTTAATTTCCTTAGAAATTATCTAACACGTTTGAGAAGACCAGGTTATTCTAGATCTACAGGAACAGACAGAAAATTTTGTGCATTAATATTTGGGCCAAAGTCCATCAGCCACAGGGTGAGTGGTTAAAAAGTGTGCGATCGCTTTATGCTGACTCTCCTGACACAAATTACCCTGCCTCAGTGCGATGGATTTGCAGGCGATTAAACAGGCCGATGCGTAATGCAAATATTTTGTGACAATAAGGACAGGATTGGATTATGCCTAGTGGGCGAGAGGCGGCGACATTGCATGAGGTGATGAGTTAAAAATAGTGGTGCGTAAGAGTTTTCGGGCAAGTGAGGTGGGTTCGTCATACTGACATTGCGGCAGATTTCGCTGCCGTAAATAAGTATGTGACAGAGAAAACCGTCGCGGTGACCGAATTTCCTGCTGCAATGGGGGCGAATTAAATCGCGTGTAGTAGGCTGGGGTTCCAGGCACTTTTTCATCGGTCCTTTTGCGATGGATCTGTGGGTGACAGGTCAAGCCAATGGGCGGTGTAAGGATGCAGTTGCGATCGATTCCACATTGCTGTTAACGAATCGATGTGGGTGGAAATGATGGTAATAATGGTGGCGGTGGTGGAGGTAGTGGTGGTGATGATGGGATAGTGGTGGCACAGTTATGATGGTGGGGTGGCGGTGGTGTTTGGCGGGGCCTCGAGACTGTGTTAATTGGCGGTGGGTTTGCGATTGTCGCCACCGACGTCTTGGGAGTTGTGGTAACGGCGACGGTGGAAGCGTTTTCTGGGGTGGGAAGAGGAGATGTCGTGCTCATAACACACGGGGTCCGGAAATTTCCAATGAAACCTACCAGCTCACGAAATGTCCTTTAACAGCGTGGACAAGAACAAGTTTGATGCTAAAATTGTTGGTTCGCGACACCTAAGACTGACGAGACGCTATTCATGCCCTGACAATAACTGCACCGTGGGCTTAAAAGACTAGTAATACATTCTTCACGGCAATTTCCCAGTTTTGCCGATTCTGTTCGAAGTGCCGTGTCGCCAGGTTTATTTACATATCCTTGAAGGTGGTTCTCAGGATATCCATGTAGCATCGCTTTTGCCCCCTCTTTCAGCAAGCACCCATTACAAGCCAGTCACTGAGGAGCCATTTTTTGTAGGGTCTCGCCATCCATCCTCACAAGGTGGACACATCACTGTATTTGCAACGGTTTTTACATGACGCGGATGTTAATAATTCCGGTCCTTTCCCAGACCGTCCTGTCATGCCAGCACAACTTAAGTACTCTTCATAGTCAGTTGAAGTGGAAATGATTCGGCGAAATACTCCGAATCGTTAGAACAAAAACGAGCGTTATACGAGTCGCAGGTTGCCTCCGGATAAACATTAAACGGTAACAATCAGGAGAGGGCACCCAAAAGAATACCGCTGGCCAACGCAGGGATCTTATCGCAACTGTCTTAAGCTATGCAGCCATTGACTGAGCCGCACACTGGCACCTGCGGTTGATCCTGACCTCTGGAAATAAAGGTAAAAATTGATAATCCAAGTGCTCCGTCAACGGTGATCGTATTGTAATTGTCCGTAGGTAAGCTACTATAGAATAATCCGCATAGGGACTACTGCGGTCGCTTTTCAGCAATGGAAGCTTATATTAGGGTTGTTTAACGTAGGGTGGGTTTACGGCGATCGTTTTGCAACTGTCCAAAGGGTATGGTGCCATAGATTGAGCCGCATACCTGCAAGTGCGGACATTCCTCACCTAAGGAAGAAATGGCCATAATGGATAAGCCAAAGGGCAGGCCCACAACGATCGTATCGCCAGTGTATGAACGTATGCTACCATAGATTAAGCCGCATATCGAATACTGCGCTCGCTCTTCACCTGTGGAAGCGAATGTTAAGGTTGGTAAACATAGGATTTGTCTAAAGCGATCAGTACTCAACTTTCCTTAGCTATGTTGTTCTAAAGTAAGCCGCAAACGGACTAATGTCGTCGCTCATGACCTAGACAAGCATATGTGAAGGATGGCAAAACAATTTTCGGTCTACAGCGATCGTTTCTCAACTCTCCTAAGGTATGCAAGGGTAGATTTAGCCGCAAACACACTACAGTTGATACTCTTCAGCCGTGTAAGCCTAGGTCAAGATTGATTAACCATGGCTCGGTCTGCAGCGGTCGCATCTCAACTGTTGGAGACTATGATAATCTAAGTGGGGCAACATGTTCACTGCAGATCAGATAAAATTGAGGTCGAATGAAATAACAAATATTCAGGGCCATAACCTACTCAAATAGGCATGTCAGGTATTATTTCTAACGGACATTTGGGCGCCCTCTCCCGATTGTTACTCATTAAACAAAACTACACCATAATCTCTCAAGGGACCCGCAGGCCACATACCAACGTTATTTTTCTTGACGCGTTTTGGAGAGGCAAAACACACCACGTGATATTTAACTTCTATGGCTACTCTTAACGGTTAAATAGAAAGTGCTAACAGCGCCGAACGTTGTATCGTTCTTCGTGTACGACCTTAGCCAAGAGAACGGTACAAGAACATTCTTATCAAATGGAAATCCGTTTGGTGACCAAATAATACACTTTGATTGTCTATAAACCAGGGAAATGTCATCACGCCTGTCAGACTACAGGGTACAAATTGGAAACAACCAATGGTAAAATGAAACAGCCCGAAACAATTTAACGGAAAATGTATGCAAAGTGCTAAGCCCATCTGTTCGACTGAGTCCTGATCATTTCATGGTTGTCTGTAGCAGCGTGAGGAATGAAGAATGGACAAGAGGTGGGTCGGGCGACAGCTAAGTGTCGACAGAGGCAATAATACGTGTACACAAGCACAAGTTGGAAGAAGAAATCTCGGAACCTGAAATTTTATTGTCCCGGTGTTTCAGAAGTAAGTAGGCTTCCATCATGGAATTATCGACTAACATTGCGCTTCACAGTATTTAGCAGCGTTTTTGATCCCGATAACCGATTGCTTATCAAATTTAATATACGAGACTGTGCCTGAATTGACATATCCACCATGATTCCTGGTCTGACAAAGGGGTAGTCGATCTCCATGATACAAATATCGCAGAATTCGTATTGGTTGTCACTGCTGCCCAACCGACTACAGTGGCTTCGCCCTCTCCCCCACAACCCCTACGTATACTGCCTGTCCTGAGCTACGCTATCCTATCGACCGTAGTCTCTCTGTTGGGCCTGGTGCGTCTGGAGTGCACTGTTAGCCAATCATCAGACGATAAAAACCTATTTGCGGAGAAGGAGACACGATCGCTGGAACAACTGTTTTTTTTTGCCTGACGTTTCGGATTTCCATTCGAATACATCATCAGAGGCAAAGATAAAATTGGAATTATAATTGCACGCAGATCGGAGGCAACCATAAGGCGCCAGAACTTAAGGGTCGAAAGACCCATTGCCACGGCAAGAAACATCTGGAGTCGTTTACCATGTCTGACGCAGCTGTGGGCAATCAACTATGTCGGAAAAACCAGAAGACTACTGCGGACGGGTATGGCCGAGCACGCGGCAGCAGTGAGGAGGAAGGACACCAACTCCTAACTCGCAGCTCATTCAACGGGACCCAACCACACACCTAAGTTTGACAAAGCAGGCATTATCGCTAGAGACGACAATCGCGTGAGCCGCGAACTGCTCGAGTCATGGTTTTCCACTCCTCAATCAACAAACAAGCGCAGCGACCCCCCTTTCCACATCCGGTGCTGGAACTTCTTCTTGGGTAAGTAGTTAGCCGCGTGGAGAACGTTCGGATGACCACTGTTCCTGATATCAATGTTGACGAGCCAAATTGACTAAGAGTCCACACAGATGACGAAATCTGTCAGTCATCAACTCGACTGCCTGCGATGAGCGTGGGAGCCGATAACCTTGACCGTCACATGGGAGCGTAGCAACTGCATGGCAGCTGCATACTTCAACACCTCGCCAGTCGAACAGTAACGCCCTGGGTAGCTGCTAACCGTGATAGGAATGTTGCGGCCTAGCAACTGCATCCAATTAATATTGCAACACCTGGGCAATTCACTATTATTATCTGACTCTAGCTCTGATGATTGATTCGAGTGAGAATCCGAAACACAGGTTAATCAATATCTTGTCCCAGCTATCTTGTCTCCTTTCCCGCGACAACTTTCTGGAACTCGCATCGTCTCTTTTATTGTCAAAAACCCATTTGCTTTCGAATTACCTGACTAAAAATCTGTTACTTCTCGGGGACCTCTCGTCCTCCTCCTCCTCCTCCTCCTCCTCCTCCTCCTCCTCTTTCTTCATCATCATCATCATCATCTTCTTCTTCTTTTTCTTCTTCCTCTTCTTCTGGTCAACAGTGAAGAACGTTTTCTGCAGTGCGTCGCACTGCGACTCAAAACGACTGGAAGATCTGGCGGAGAGGATCACCATTACCAACTTGGTGGAAGGTGCCTTTCAAATGTAACCGAACAAAAAGATCTTGGGAGTAACATTCTGCCGACCCTTAAGCCTTCATCTCAGTGTGTTA